AGGAAGGAAGGAAGGAAGGAAGGAAGGAAGGAAGGAAGGAAGGAAAGAAGGAAGGAAGGAAGGAAGGAAGGAAGGAAAGAAGGAAGGAAGGGAGGGAGGAAGGAAGGAAGGAAGGAAGAAAAGGAAGGAAAGGATTTGCTATTCTACCACATCATGATATCTTGGGTATGGAGCTGGTTATGTGTGAACGGAGGACAAGGGGCTGGGACATACCTTCTGGTTAGCACCTGTGGGTGACACTTGAGAGTCCATCAAGGGGAACACTCAAGTCACCAGGCTCCGTAAGTAGACAGGCCATAACAGACAAACAGCATGCCAGAGAGCAATGCAAGTTCTCTATCTCATTTAGAAATAAAGGCACATTCTACTTTACCATCCTATGTCTCTATGTTCATAAATAAGTGCCCAATGGGCATTCCGTATCCCTTGACCTTACTTCTCTTCAAAGATTGACGGGGAGTCACTTCTTTACCAGATGTTTTAAAACATTTTCATTCTTAAAAGCAGGTGTCTGACAGTTTCATATTTTAGCAATATAAAGAAAACATTTGCAAAAAGTTTCAACCATAAGTTAAAGGTGGAGAGACTGCTGTTATTTTTTTCAGAGGGTTATAAAAATTACTGCATAAGAAGCAGCTGGTTGCCAGTGGCTCATGCATGTAATTCTAGCTCTCTCAGGAAGCTAAGATCTGAGAATCCACATTCAAGGCAAGCCTGAGCAGACAAACCCAAGAGACTCTTATCTCCAATTAACCAGCAGAAAGCTAGAAGTAGAGGTGTGCCTCTAGCAGTCATGTGCTATCCTTAAGCAGAAAAACAGAGAGCTGGAAACTTTGAGTTCAAACCCTAGCACCAGCACATGTACCAAAACAATTGCTTGAATAAAGCATTATGTCCATTTTGTTTACTTATTGCTTGGTTTTCTTTTATATCAACAGAAAATATCTGAAAAATTTGGCAACACTTCCAACTTCCATAGAAAATAATCATTCCTAGGAAAAAAAATGTTTCTGAGATAGGAACTCGGCTAGCCTGTACACAGGAGACCAAGCAGAGAGAGGAAAGACAAAAGAGAAAATCCTGACTTAGTTATTGGTTATTTACTTCTAAAGTTGTCAGGACCCTCTTTCTGTCTCTCCTGTTAGAGTTAAGGTGACTTACCTCTTCTATCTGGATCTCCCGCTCATAAACTAGTTTCCGGACCATGCTGGCCACAGACACTATCCAAGTCAGCATCATTATCAGTGGAAAAAAGAAGCCAACATTGTTCAGGAATCTGTCAGGACATAATTCAATCAGTGTCCAAAGAAAAAGGGCTCCACACTTAGTCATGTACATGGTAGGCACTAAATCTGTATGAATGTTTGAACATTTTTTCTCTGAATTTTCTCAACACTTTATGGAGCAGTGGCTTCATAGGCCTATGACCCAGTACTGTCCTCAATGCCCTGGTTTTCAAGATGTACAAACACACAAAGGTGATCATGCAAGAGATTGGTTCAAGGTCCTTCAGATAACCATAGCCTGAGCCAAATCCTTTGATACTGTCTATAGTGAGAGCAAATCAGAAGAACAAAACAGGCCATTTCTCCATGACTCATCTTTCCCACTTAACTGAGCAATGATCTATCTCTATTCACAGATACCATTAATCATAGATTATCGTCTAGAAAGTATGTAAGAGCTGGCAAATTAAAGTCTCCCTTTCTATTTCCCCAGAATTCATTTTTCAATCTATCCTAACTGGGATTGATTGATAGGGTAGGGACCCTAATTGACAGTCATGTCACTAAAATCCAAAACGAATTTTCAGTCATTTTTCTTTCCTGAATTTTCATCTATGTTTGGCAACACTGACCTCTCCTCCTCTCTTAGCTTCTAGAGCAACTTTCCTTGGCTTTCCATACATTGCCAGGCCATTGAGTCCTCCTCACAAATTGCTTCTTCTTAACCTGTCCTTCAGTGTAAACATGCTCACTCCAGCCCTGCAGTAAGTGCTGGGCCATCTAACTCACAAGCAAGCTCTAAAAATCACAAAGTAATTATCTTATTCCTCACTGAGACCAATGTGAGATGCAAGCTAGCTGATTGGGCCTGTGATATATACTTGAGCAACAGAAGATCTTGCTATTAAGAACATCCTACATTCTAGAAAGGTGGGGGAAGATAAAATAAGCCAATCAATAGACGTGCCACATGGTGTTGGGTAGAGATGAGAGGTAGAAGATGGAATGCTTCACAGGTGAGGTAGCTACATGAGCAGGTAATGTACAGAATAAGTCATGCACATATTTGTGAGGAGACAACTCTAGGCAAGGTATAGCCAGACTTTTAATCTGCTTCTGGAAACTAATTCAAAATCCACAAACGAAGAGGGAAATTATGTTTGAATTTTGTTCAATGATTGAAAGAAACACTCAAGTGTTTGAAAAGTCTGCTAAAAAATAATTCCATTTGTATAACAAAACACATTCTCTCCAGATCTTGGGATGAGCCTACAAAAACATAGTGCTTAAGTTTGTGGCACACTCGTAGGGGAAAATACACAGAGCAACACATGGGAAGTGGGTATCAAATTCCATGTTAGGCTCGATACTGTGAGAGATGACCCAACCTGGGACTCTATTTCCAGGGAAGCAAAGAGTGGGCTTTGTGAGGAATCCACATATTTGTAGGAAGTAATCACATTTGTGATAATAAAAAGAAAGACTTCAAAGTGTGTGCCACTAATTTTACCTAGTCTTTGACCAACAAATAGGACCTTGTAAATACTTGATCAAGTATAACCAGTTCATTCTACATGAGTGATAATCACCGCAATGAAAATCTCAAAGATACCCACCCAAGAAATACAAAGAGATGGGGAGCTGCATCATTATTAACAAATAAATACTTCATGCAAAAATTTTGTATGGTGATATGGGGCAAATGAAAATTGCAAAATTATTTTGTGTACAACTTCAAAATATTTAACTAGACAAAATCCTTCTTAAGAGATCATGGATAGCAGAGTTGTTAGAAATGAGTGAAGAGATGGCAAGAAAATAAAGAGAGCTGAGACATTAACTTGAAAAACAGAAATAAATAGATGGAAAAAAATATAACCATCAGCCGGGTGCTGGTGGCTCACACCTGTAATCCTAGCTACTCAGGAGGCTGAGATCTGAGGATCGAGGTTCAAAGCCAGCCCGGGCAGGAGAGACCTTGAGACTCCTATCTCCAGTAAACCACCAGAAAACCAGAAGTGGCGCTGTAGCTCAAGTGGTAGAGCGCTCGCCTTGAGCTGAAGAGCTGAGGGACAGCACCCAGGCCCAGAGTTCAAGCCCCACGACCGACAAAAAAAAAAAAAAAATATATATATATATATATAAAACCATCAGATGATGAATGGTAAAACTGGACAAAACATAGGAACAATAATGAATACTACAGAAGCCCACTAATGACACAGAAAGTAGGCAACAGAAATGTAACTTAAAAAAAAAAACAGAACTAAACCATTTAAAAGAAATAGGGAAATTTTATATAGATTAAGAATACAGGAAACAGAAAATCATGTAATTGACACCCCTGAAGAATCAAAATAAAATAATGGTAAATAAGAAATTGGTAGAGGTGTAATACATAAGAAGATTTCAAAAAAGAGCATTTGAATTTGTACTTTCAAGAGACATATCCATATGGAATATTGTGGTATATTAGTCAATGATCCCATGTATACTCCTATAAATTTACAGATTTTTTTCAGATGGCCAAAACTACAAAGACATATAACAAAGAAAATATCCAAATGGACTCAGATTTCTCCATAGTAACATTGAAAGCTAAAAATAAACAAGCCAGACACTAGTGGCTCACACCAGTGATCTTAGTTACTCAGGAAGCTGAGATCTGAGGATCATGGTTCAAAGGAAGCTTAGACAGGAAAGTCTATGAGATTCTTAGAATCTTATCTCCAATAAGACACCAAAAAGTCAGAAGTGGAACAGTGATTCAAGTGGTAAAGCACTAGCCTTGAGCAAAAAATAAAAAAATAAAAAAAACAGCTTGGGACAGTGCTTGGGCCCTGAGTTCAAGCCTAGTAACAGCAGAAAAGAAGAAAGAAGGAAGGAAGGAAGGAAGGAAGAAGGGAAGGAAGGTAGGAAGGAAGGAAGGAAGGAAATTAAATTTTATTTTCAAGTGGCTGTAATCACATATTAGTTGCCAAAAAATTACATAAATCAAAAATGAAAACAATAATGTTCAAAACTTAGGATTTAGCAATAGAATTTAGCAATTTATTGTGTTAGACAGCTGTTCAATTATGTTCACATGATAGGTAAAAATATACAATCAAAAAGTAGTTTTAATTTTAACTTTTCTTTTTACAAGTAAGCTGATTAACTTATTAAGTTAAAAAAAAGTTAATGAGAATCTACTTATTAATGAAAAGGTATACTTAGTGCTCTCTTGGATCAAAGAGAAAGTAGAAACTCAAATCACAAGTATCTAAAGAATATTGGACTTTAAGCAATGTACCTAAAAGAAAAATCATTGTCTTAGGCAACTACATAAATTTAAGGGGAAAAATACTAAAAATATGAATCGATTGTCAGTCTCAAGTTGTGACAGACACAAAATAATGAATTGAAAATATATAAAGTTAAAGAATAAAAATAAAAGCAGAAATAATTAACTTGGAAAAGAGTTTTTAAAGCAGTGAAAAACATCACAATGAATTTTTGGTCTCAAGGATAAATGGGTTAGTGTGTTTGCTGGTACTGGGTCTTGAACTCGGGGCCTCAAGCTTTCACTTAGCTTTTTTGCTCAAGGCTGGTGCTCTACCACCTGAGTCACACCTCCACTTTAAGCTCCTTTACTGGCTATTTGGAATTGAGATTCTATTCTGCCCATATTGACTTCAAATCCTCAAATTTTAGCCCCATGAGTAGGTAGGATAACAAATGTGAGCCACCAGCATCCAGCTTAAAGAAGGAGATTTTTAAAAAGAAAAGAAATAGGAAGTGAATGGGTTTGTATTGGAAGCAGAGGCACAGCATGCCTCCAACTTCTGCTCTGTGTAGCAAGTTTGAAAGATATCCTTTGATTCTTGCTCCAAAGGAATTCTTCACTATGATGATATGGATCCCTCACCCAAGAGGGACACCAGAAGGTTGTCGAGTTTTCAGTCTTCAGAATAATGAGTAAAATCAACCTCTTCCCTCTGCATATTATGCTTCCCATCTATAGTTATAAGAGACTAACACCACCCTAGTTTTCTCTATTGTCTCCAGACTTAATAATCACTTACTTATAAAACCAGCAATTAAAAAACATAATAAAGTTAGGGATGTCTAAGTGACTCCAGAAAGAGTTTGACCTACTATGTGAAGAGCATGAGTCCAACTAGTACATTCTAGGATCTTCTTTTGTACTTGCCTCTATTTTCAAACCCCCACAAAAATACTACGAATAAACCACAATTGAAAAATTAAACTCCCTTATGCATTTAAGCCTACTTAAAAGGATACTCTGATCTCATAAACATTTCATTGTCACCATTTCCTTTCTGCAGGTGGCACTTACTTGATTTACATTTTAATAACCCCTTGTTAATCAAGTTTAATCTGCTGCTTGCCTCCATTAGCACTATCCAGTGGGTTCCAAGAGAGAAAATTAATGAGCGTGTTGAATCAAACTCACACTACGGAAAGAATCAGAGTAACCTGCAACTGTATTCATCACTCAGAACACAGGATTTAGTTTCAAATGTGGAGCAATGGCAATTTTCCAGCTCCTAGTTTCCTATCACAGCCCTGACCATTCTCTGTCCATTCTCTTCCTCGGGCCCATGAATCCTACCAGCCAGGACCAGCTCCCATCAACCCAGGGGAACCCAGAACATGGTGGAGGCAGCTATCAAGGGAAGGACCAGGGCCCTTCTGCTTTCTCATTGTCTCCCTTTCTCCTTCTCATCCCCTTCAGGAAAAGGGGGAGCAGTCTGCCAGCTTTGTCTCCCACAGCCCCCTCACATGCTTGTCTTAAATGGGTTATGATGTGTGACACAGGGACAGAGAGGAGCCTGGAGAAAGGGTGGAGTAAGGACACCAGGCTCACATGCAGTCTGTGTGCAGTGATTCCCAGAAGCACCCATGCTCCCCTAAGCCATGAGCAAAGGGGACAGGGATGTTCTGTGTCTTACTGTTCCTACCTCAGTAACCCACTTGGGGAAATCAAGGAGAAGGAAGCATGCTCATGTGCTTCCACACCTCTCTGGATACAAACATCATCCAAAAC